TACAGTTTTATTACAGTTTGTTGCTAGACAGCCTGGCTTACTGACCAATCAGGAAGCCGGACGGCACCTCATGTCTCGCTTCCCGGCTTCCTGATTGGTCACGAAGCCAGGCAGCCTCAGCAAGTGAAGCTGGTGTTCTTTTCCTTCAGGCAATTAGGAAACCAGGCGACGGGTTATGATCCGCTGCCCGACTTCCTGATAATCGGGGCACACAGCACCGGTACTTGGTATTGGCGAGTACCGAAAAAAAAAATATCCGTACTCGTACTCGATACCGAAAAACCAGTACCAGTGCATCCCTAGAAATAATGGTAATGCACCGTGACACACATATACGGAGCGTTAGTACTCATTCAATTGTGTTAGGGATAAGCTAGAAGTTACAAACATAGCTGCAACATTAAATTTTACATTTATTTTTAGCAACAGAAGCCTGCAGCAATAACTATTGCAGTGTAAAACAAATATACCCTATGCCATACAAATATTTAAGTCACATTTTTTGAGAATGCTGGAGGAGATGGCTCAAAGAAGCAGTTTAATAGAGATCACCTACCTGTATGTGACTAGAAATCCAGCACCCATTGCGTATGTACAACCATACTTTGCTTAGCCCATAGGAGCTATGCATAGATAGTACAGTTTTGGGGAACAGAAGCAGACTCCATACAGGGTGTAACACAGATCTGGACAAATCCGAGGAGCTAAGTACAAGGTAGTTAATGCTCCTGAATATTTACAGCTGGAGTCTACTTTTGAGATTTTCTCTAGTTGTTGGCAATAGAGCTGGCTCCTAAAAAAATCATGCTCGCTCCGGGATTAGACAGACTGGCTCCTGAATTCCATATTAATTTGTACACTCCTGGTATAGCAAAATAAAAACTCGTACATAGTCTACCGCTTTGGGAAATATCTGAGATAGCAGATTTCAAGGCCTTGGCATGCATATTGGGTGTTCAGTAATGTGTATGGTATCATAATTCACCCTAATACAGCACTCAGTGTTGGCCACAGAGAATATTGTGCTTCACTTGCACCTCCCCACAGAAAAAAGACTTACCAATTCAGGTACACGTACAAAAAAATTACAGGAGCTATCAATCATCCTTAGCAACCAAGACAGCCACTTTATAAAATGCAACTCCGCAAGACTTCAGGACACCCGGAGTCCTGCTCATCAATCCTGACTAGTCCTGGCTGTTAACATTGCTATTAGTCTTTTTATATTCTTAAATACCAAAAACAAAAATGTTATGTTATATATTGCAACGTACCAGTCCTTAGCTGTAGTGGCTGCATTCATTTTCATATTTCAAGCTAAGAACATTTTTATCAAGCACAGAAAATATCTTAAACTTGCCAGAAATGCAGTGTCTTTGTCAATTCCTAGCTTAAAAGATCCAAACATCCTTATTTTTCTTGTGTAAACTGCTAATCCCATAAATGGGTTTAGATACGCTTTAAAGTCCATCTGATTAACACCAAGAGGCTCTGGAAAGATGAGCCGGAGTCTCAGTCTTTGTGTATGGCTTTGTGTATGGCTTCCTTTAAAGAGGTGGTCCTGGTTGCTTGGGTGATTGACAGCATTATTCATTGTTTTATTGTTTTTTTTATCATTTGTGGGCAGATGAACGTGGAGCACTATTTTTATAGGCAGTAACAACTGAGGTTTGTTTTGGGGTAATTATTTTAAAATTGTATTACTTGTATTGTATTGGGGGGGTTGGAGCAGCGGGATCCAGAGGTGGGTAGTTGGGTTACTCTTAGAAGGCGGGGGAGGGGGAAGAGTGCTAGAGAGGTCAGCCCAGAGTTGTGGAATTGTTCAAGAAACTTTTGGACGATTTCTTAAGGGACCGCAATATACAGGGATACAGGTACTCCTAGAATGAGATCCTAATAGGTTGTACTTGATGGACTAATGTCTTTATTCAACCTCAAATACTATGTAACTATTATAACATCATCACTTTAAGCAAAAACTTTTAAATTTAATTCTGAGTATAGAATAGACTGAAGTATAGCCAACTGCCATCAAGAAATTATTTTTACTTCTTCTTTGCTGTTGGCTTATTTGACATATAAGCACCTTGTTTTAAACCCTAAATGTTTAACTCCATTTTGGATGGAGCTGGAAAGGGTTGGGGCCTCTGTAATGGTGTATTCAAATGTATTACAAAAAAAATTCAACCTCAAATACTATGTACTATGTATGTACTGTGCAATACAGAGGCCAAGCAGCTTGTGTGCCCTTTGGAGAAAGTTCTCTTATTTCCTTTACTTCACTGTGGGGCAGCTGACTTTGACATTTAAGTAAATTATATACAGTATATTATAGCTTTATATTAAAAGAACAAATAACAGTGTGTGAAAAAATATGCAATGATAATTGTTAATGTATAAATTATTTTTTTAATTGTATGTGCCTTTACGCATACTTTTTTCAATGTTTACATACATACCAACCATCCAGTGAAAGCAACAGGGGTTAGTAAATAATAATAATAAGTGATACTTAAAACAATTGCATTGTATACCCATATAAATGTGGATACAAAAATAAGATTTTTGTACTTTCCATAAAATGTTTTTCTTGAAGACCCATTGAGGAATTAGTAGAAACAGAAAAAAATTGGTTTATACCGACGCCTTCATGAGGTTGGCACACTGGCAAAAAAGCATCAAGCCAGCCCCCATATAACCTCCCTTTTACCATCATGCCTCAGTTTTGGGGGCAAGCAGTGGCATGAGGCCAACAACACTGAAGCATAGAACCATGTCCCTCAATGACACAGGGATTGTAGAAATCTTTGATCGCCTATATGTGAAACACCCGGTAACGGGTGTGTGCAACGGTCGGGTCTTTTCTGCCCGTGCGTGCCCGCTGGGGGGGCGCGTGCGAGCAGAAAAAAATTGCCGTCTGGAGACGGCAACCCGCAGATGTAGCAGTGCCGTCCGTCCGTTTTTTTACTACGGGCGGACGGCAAGAGGTTAAACAGTCAGGATGTTCAAAATCAGTCCAGTAGAAGGGTGGGCAAAAAAAAAACACAAGTCATCCAACATAGTGGAGATCATACTGCAAGGATATCTGAAGAAATCAATGCCCAAAAGAAGGTAGATGCAAAAGGTCAAAACAATTTGGAAATTGTCAGGACCAAGGGAAGGGGCCAAGGATCAGCCTGTTGCTCCAGACCAGGAGGAAAAACACCAGCAGAAGAAAGTGCTACCAGAAAAAGGCATGGGTCTTGAAAGTTTTAGCCTCTTAGATAATTTTCTTATGTGCAAATATGTCTTTTAACATTTGACCAGAGCTTGCACTACTTTTACTTTTATAACTGCACGTGTTTTGCACGTGTTTTACACGTGTTTTGTCCAGAGCTTGCACTACTTTTTTGCACGTCTTTTGTCCAGAGCTTGCACTACTTTTTTGCACGTGTTTTACACCTGTTTTTTGACCAGAGCTTGCACTACTTTTTCAATTGCATTTTTTTTGCACCTGTTTTGCACCTGCACTTGTCCCGCGGCAGTCTGAAACTGGAGCATCACCTAACAAAACAATCACAACTTAAGAAGTCGCCATGACCACTTCTTCAAGAAGCGATAGTTAAGCTTTTTGCCTGGAGTTACAAGTCTTCTTTAATGGAGTCTATTAAACCTCATTAATCAACAACATTAAACTAGCATCATAAATCTGGCGCAAACTGCATCAAATATATTCTGTGCAAGTTCAAACACTCGCAATTACTATGATAAATTCCCCCCAATGTGTATAGACGTGAGGACGCTGAGGAACATTCGAATGCTGCAGCGTAGAAGGAAACAGGCTTTAGAGACGGGAAAAGCAGGCAGCCAGCTCAGTGGTTCGGGTGAGTAAAACTTTTTTTTTTAGCACCTAGCCAAAAACGAGCAGTTAACCCTTGCAGTGCAGGGGTAGCCAGACTGCAAGGGATAATAAAAGTTTTTCCATTTTGTTCTTCTTTAAGGTCTGAAATCCATTATTACATGGTAAGGACACCATCAACCTTTTTAGTGGTATGCTTCTTAAGGTGAATGATTAGTGTCAATAGTGGGCAGAGGCCACTTATTAATACAATTCCTCTCAAAGTGAAAAAGCTCCTTTGCATTGTCAATAGGAGCCTGTGACTCCATAGGTTGAAATTTAGTGAAATACAGTCTCTCCAGGGGCAGGTTGTAAGGACTCTGAATTAGAAATAGTAATTTCAAGCACACTTAGGCCCAGTAGGGTCAGAAGTAGACTATGTCATGAATGGTACCAGAGCATGCTTAGGGCTTTTGCAAGCAGATTGCTCAATTAAATGTGCAAAAACCAACAAACAAAATCTGAAGTGAATATAAGGGTCTTGTGGTCACATGAGAGGTCTAAGACACCATCGACAGGGCTATAGAAGACTCTGATGAGGATGAATCTTTAGTAATAGGAATCTCAGGATCTAGACCTCTGGGGGTTACTGAGAAAATGCTCCAAGAAGCAGTAGAGAAGTATGGGCTGAGGTAGCTCCTTGCAGCAGGAATGTCCTCTCTGTGTCGATTTAAAAAAAAAAGTGTTGCATGTTGCACCATGTAGCGGGAAAACAAACAGGCCCAAAGTGAGACAAATCCAAGGAGCAGGTTCTGAAGACGGTCCCAGGGAGCCGGAAATAGGTAGAATTTTTCTCAGCAGAACAGTTGGAGGTGGGATTATAGGGAGGCTGGCTTAACGTTCTTTGTTTGCCAGTGTCCCAAACTCCTGAAGGCAGCAGTACAACCCCACTGTTTAAGAATTTCTACAATTTCCGTGTCCCCCAATGGACGGTAAAGAAATATAAAAAACATCATGTGAAACAAAAAAGGAGCTCATATATTAGGAAATATTTTTGCATGTACTAAGTGCCTAAATTTATCAAAATATAATTGTTTTTTACAATACTCCTTCAAATAATGACTTTGAAAATGTTTCTTATTTAAGAAGATATGGTGTTTAAATAAAGTGGTCCAAGGCATACTCTCACCTCTCTCTCTGATGAAGTAGGCCAAGTACAGGTCTAGTTCTTTAACAGACACGCTGATATGGTGCGGCTGAACACATAACAGCGGGTTAGAACAGTGCGCAGCTTTCACCAGTCTCTCGCCATCTGTACTTTCCAATGGAATGCCCTTGAAAAGGATCACCATCACAAGATCCAGCCTCCACACCTTATCCGCCTGTCGAAGGCAGTCGATCCTCCGCATCTTGCCTTTCTGGTCTGGGTTGGAGAGGACACAAGTAGCAGCTTTTTTGCCAGTTATGGACAGCACAAAATCCTCACGAAACTCTGGCCTTATATCCTTCCGAAGCTTTGCTAAAAGCCGGGATGCCCACTTCTGCTTAACCTCAGCCTTCTCATTTAGCAGTTCGTCTTTTACACCTCGCTCTTCCTCTTTAGTCATTTTTTTCTCATGTTTTTTGAAATACTTTCTTTTCCTAGCCTGAAGGTTGAACCAGGTGTAGGCAAATGCTCGAACGTAGGGGAGCAGGGCTTCGATGAAAGGGTGAAATTCATCCTAGAAAAAAGAAAGAATTGGGTGATTTCTAGAAAGACATTCATAACAGATTTACCGTAAGCATCTTCATTTTTTATTTGTTTTATTTACTATACATTAAAGCTACATGAACAACTTGATTTCTCCACAACTTACTGTTTACTTTCAGACCATGTTTCATGTTACACCCATATTTAGGGTGAAACATGAAACATGGTCAGATCGCAAATCCTATCTTACTTTATGAAGGAGGCAGTAATGTCACTGCACCGCATAGACACTTATTCCTTGTTTCCTTATTCTCTAACAAATCTATGAGGTAACGTGGAATTGTGAACATCACAAACATAAGCATAGAGCTGTGTTCAGTATAAGGTGACACAAACTAATTAACTCACATCTAGAGATGAGCGAACTGGGCAAAGTTCAGTTTGCAGGAAGTTTGGTGAATCCAGCAAAAAGTCCACTAAACGTGAACATATTGTTGAACCCAACACAAGTCCATAGGAGTCGAATCTTGTAATTGTTCTCCGTTTTTTTTTCAAGGCCAATTTGACATTTGCAATTTTATCAACAAAGGGGCATGGGTAGGATTTCTGACTTACCTGTAAAATCCTTTTCTTGGAGTACAGTAAAGAACAAATGCTTTTTTAAAATCTAAGACCCTGGTTTATAGAATATACCTTCAGATGGCTGGACACTGACAAAAGGAAAAGGCTGCAGGGACACCCCCATATAACCCTTTTCTCTCCCAGGAAGCTTCAGTTTTGTAGCAAGCAATAGGGACAGCATAAAAACAGAGGGGATGAGCATGTGTCAAAGATTCCATTTTCTTAATCGTACAGCATAGAACACAGGCTCTTTAGGTTTTAGGGCTGGGACATCCGAAAGCAGTCCAACTGAGGAGCGGGTAACATAGCAAACGATGCCAACAGGCCCACAAAAAAAAAAGGGCAAGAAAAAAGTTCAGAGTGTGGATTGAAGCACCTTACTCCTAAAGCTAGCACCAGCAGAGACCTGAACATCAACCTGGTAAAAAGATGCAGCCTTGCAAATCAGGATGAAGATGCCTCCCCAGAGGATTTGAGCAACCAGAAAGGCCAACTTGCAAAGGTCAGCCAAGGGAATATCCCTGATAAGTTCAAAGGGGAGGCTTCTGGAGGGCCAACAGAACTTCTGCCTGAGTCACTTTTCAGGACCGTGAGGCTAGAATAAAACCCCCTGAACCACTCATGCAAGGGCACTGGAACACTGACCCCTTGAGCTAGCAGCCCTGTGATGGCAGCATATAGGGCCTGCATACAAAAAGGGGACAATGGCAGAATTGAGGCGAAGAATTGCTTGAGATTGGAAATCTACTTTGTAACTTCAGGAAATCCCTTCCCGAACTCAGTTGTTTGAGATTAGGGCTACCCAACATTACGCAAATGACAAAAGACATCCCCCCACCCTGGATATTCCCAGTGGGTGCAAACCTTCATGAGGATCGCTTTCGGATCTCTCAGGCCGCTACCTGCCAGTGGGTTCCCTCCTCGCTGCTTCCCTTCAAGCACACCTGTCAGCGCTTGACAGTCTCCAAAGAACCGATGCACCCTGTCCTACTGGAGAGCTTCCACAGAGCACTTATACCAAGCCATGTGCACACTGAGGTAAGTGGCTGACAGAGGCATCCCTTTCCTCCGAAACCAGGGAGCTGCTGGCCCAGGGTGGCATGGCACCGATCTATCAGATGAACAGTTCAATGCACCACCAGAAAGCTACAATACTCAAGGACCCGCTCTACAGATGCAGACACTGCAGCTGGTCCTGCCAGATCAAGTGAACTGCATGCACTCATAGGCTGCACTGGGGGTATTACCTGGATCTAGGTATCCATCCTGTCGCTCCAGCCAGCAGCTTGATTGTACAAGACAAAAACACTAGGGGGGTTATTCACAAAGCTACCGAAGGCAGCCGAGTGAATAACCAAGCCGAAGTGAAATGAGACGAACGCTGTTCAGCTATACACTCCGGTTCAGTACGGCTGATTTCAGCCATACATCGGCTGTCTTCAGCTGGACTTCGGTCAGGCTGAACCAAAGCGCAGAAGGACCTTGACAGATGTTGTATCAAGCGGCATTCGGGTTGGCTATTCTGCTTGGTACCTCCGTGGTACCGAGCAGAATAGAAAATCTGTCTGCTCAAACTTGTGGGGTTGAGCACCTTCGGCAAACAGGCTGTAGACCCTGGAAAGAGCATCGGCATTAGCATGTTGGCTACCTGGTCTATGCTCTACTATAAATCTGAAGTTCTGAAGGGCCAAGAACCATCGGGTAACTCTTGCATTCCTTTCTTTATTTCGAGCCATCCACTGGAGCGGGGCATGGTCCGTTAAGAGTCTAAACTGCCGCCCTAAGAAATAATACTTTAAGCTCTCGAGGGCCCACTTAACTGCTAAACATTCACGTTCCACAATGACATATCTACGTTCCGCTGGGGTCAACTTTCTGCTCAAGAAAGCTACAGGGTGTTCTTCCCCATTCACATCTTGGGACAACAATGCATCTAAGCCCACTTCCGATGCATCCGTCTGAACCACAAATTCCTTCATAAAGTTAGGAGTATTCAAAACCGGACTTTTGCACAGGGCTGTCTTGAGGTCCTGGAAAGCGATCTCCGCTTCCGGGGTCCAAGTTATAGCCGAAGACTTTCCTCCCTTTGTAAGATCTGTGAGAGGAGCTGCCCTAGTGGAAAAATTGGGGACAAATTTTCTGTAATAGCCTATCATACTCAAAAAGGCTCTCACTTGTATGTTATTCAGGGGTCTTGGCCAATTCTGGATAGCTTGGATTTTGGTGACCTGGGGCTTCACTACTCCCCTTCCAATAAGGTATCCCAAATAGCGGGCCTCATCCAAACCCACTGCACACTTCTTGGGATTGGCTGTCAGTCCAGCATTGCCGAGGGCGTTAATGACAGCCTGTACTTTGGGCAAGTGGCTCTCCCAATCTTCACTAAAGATAACTACATCATCTAAATATGCGGATGCATAGTTTCGGTGTAGCTTAAGGACACAGTCCATCATCCGCTGAGAAGTGGCAGGTGCCCCCATGTAGGCCAAACGGCATCCTTTTATACTGCCAATGACCTTCTGGAGTAGAAAATGCTGTTTTCTCTTTAGCCCGATCAGTTAGGAGTATTTGCCAGTACCCTTTTGTAAGGTCAAAGTGCAATTCTGCATTGCGCTGTATAATTTATTATTGCTGGGATTTGTAGTCCTCTATAGCTGGTGGTATTCTCCATTGCGCTGTATAATGATTATACGGCGCAATGCAGAATACCACTGACCAGTTATAGAGGAACTACAAATCCCAGCAATTATACATCGCAATGGAGAATACCACCAGCTATAGAGGAACAACAAATCCCAGCAATAATACATTATACAGGCTGCTTAATGTATTATTGCTGGGATTTGGTGTTCCTCTATAACTGCTGGTGTTCTGCATTGTATTGTGCATGGTATCCTGCATTGTATTGTATAATACGGTGGCACAATGCAGAATACCACCGACTTATATATATTCTGGTCAGTGGCGCAACAACCGGGGGGCCAGCAGGTGTGCTTCCGCCGGGCGCACAGCTGAGGGGGGGGCACCGGCCGTAAATGTCACTTTTGGCTAAATGCCGAAAGTGTCATTTTCCTGCAGATACATCGGTGCATCCGTGGTTTCTTTCCTCCCCGCTGGGCACTGCTCTGTGTCCCAGTGGGGAAGAGAGAAAGTGACAGCTGGCCGAGCGCTGCGGGAGGAGAGCGCTGTGAGCGGCCAGTGTCTCTCCTTCCAGACCGCTCAGCCGCCTATCACAGTCCGGCACAGCGGTGTGGGGGCGGAGACCGGCCGCGCTGTCACAGGAGGCGGAGCTCCCCCCCCCTGCTCTGCTCGCTCAGCCTCTTTTAGACCCCCCTATATTTCCCCAAAGCCCCTAAAGGTAAAGTATTAAATAAAAATATTTAATAAAAAATTTACAAAAATAAACTTTTTTTAAAAGTTGATAAAAAATAAATAAACATACAATGCCATTATAGAACATGGAATAAACAATAGATAAACTGAAATGTTCTATTCTTAGTTCTATAATGGCATTGTAATGGCATAATGGCTCTTGTTTTTAGCTCACTGTCAGGGCTTCAGCAATCTCTACTTCCGGCACCATGGTAGACCGTGTGCCAGTCCTAGCTAAGGGGTTTTGGGCCATAAGGGATTCTCTATCTTTCCAGGGCTTCAATAAATGTATGTGGTAAACTTGGTAGGGTTTCCGTTTACCAGGTTGGCACTGTAATTAACCTCCCCAATCTGTTCTACAACTTCATACGGCCCTTGCCATTTTGCCAGGAATTTACTCTCTACTGTAGGTACCAGTACGAGCACTCTGTCACCAGGGATAAAGGTTCTGACCTTGGCTGAACGATTATATACTCTAGCCTGAGCATGTTGGGCCTGTTGTAATTGTGACTTAACTATGGGCATCACTTTCTCGATTCGGTCCTGCATTTGGGCAATATACTCCACCACACTTTTGAGAGGGGTTGCCACTTGCTCCCAGGTCTCCTTTGCTATATCTAAGAGGCCTCTCGGATGCCGGCCGTACAGCAACTCAAAAAGAGAGAAGCCGGTGGAAGCTTGGGGTACCTCCCGTATAGCAAACATGAGGTAAGGCAGGAGGCAATCCCAGTCCTTCCCATCAGCAGCTACCACCCTCTTTAACATTCCTTTCAGGGTTTTGTTAAACCTCTTCACCAAACCATCTGTTTGGGGGTTACATAGTTACATAGTATTTGAGGTTGAATAAAGACGTAAGTCCATCAAGTCCAACCTATTTCGTGTGTGCATTTATGTTTGAGCAGGTATGTGCGTGTGTATGAGTCCATGTGTGATCTTGTTCTTAGACGTACCTGTACCCCTGTATGTTATGCTCTCCGAGGAACTCGTCCAAGCGTTTCTTGAATGCTTCCACACTCTTAGCTGAGATCACTTCCTGCG